AACTTTGGTACACCCATCAAACAAGACGTGGCCACGGTGGACCCACTGGCCCCTAGACTAGCTTATAAGTATCCGAGTGGCCGATAACTTAAGTTTCTGCGTTATAACTTACTCGTGACACTCACGCACCGGTTCATTTTTCAATACACGCGCGCGAGAAACTCATCCGAATTCGAAGGATACGGAGTCAAATAATCGAATGTGCGCACCGTGCGCACGCCGAGGCACATATCGTTCATCTATGTGTGTGTGCAGTGCTAAATATCGTAGCGATGCGTTTCTTGAAGTTTCATAGAAATTAAATATAAATTTTTTTTATAATTTTATTCGTTTGATTGCCATACGAGATTTGGCAGACCAGAATAAGTGTAAAATAAATAGAAGATGTAATTGGGAGAAAAATTAATTTTATTCATTGAAACTTTGTACATAAAATACAATAAGATTTTCATTCTATTAATCTTTTACACTCTAAATTATTGTAATCTTTCCGCAGTCGTAAAATCAGATATTATGTATCGTTCGCGGTATATAGAAATGTTCCTTGGTAAATTTTTAATATTTACTTTTACGACTTGTGTCAGCAGGATTTTCTTACTCATTTTTCCAATTTGTTCAATTTTTTTTAGCTAAATCTTAAGTCAAACAATATTGCAATATAACAATATTGCAATATAAACGCGAATATAGATGTTTCACATTAAAATTCTCCTTCTTGTCCGGAGGAATGGAGGATCGGAGTATAATTTATCGCCATCACGAGGTTTGGCCTGCAGCCGCCAAGCAAATGTTGTACAAATCCTGGTTGTTCAGCTTTTCCAGGATCATTTCGCAGCACTCGATCGGCAGTCGTTTGTGTATCAACTCGCTGAAGGGATCCAGCGCCCAGCGTCGAAAAAATCCTCTCGACATTTTATCACACAGATGTAAAATGTAAGAATCTTTGTATAGCCACCGATGACGTCCCGAGATGGCGAACCGGAAGTAGTCCTGATACGTGAGAAGTCTTTCCTCCTCTTCGGGCTGCAACTGGAGCAGATCGTAGAGCGACAGACTCGGAATAACCATTATCTCTTTAGCTTCTGTCACGAACTCCTCTTCGTCGTACCAAGAATCTTCCCCCAGCGCCGACTTTTCGAACAATCCAAGTTTAGCAAAACATTTCATGATCGTCAGGGCGTCGTCTCGGCTGAAATCGTAGCCTTTGGCCTCGAGATGTTCAGCGACGGCCAGAGCACCGCAAACTGCTTTCATTGCCTTTATCAACGTGCGATGTCCAATGATTCGTGGATTGATTAATGTCGTGAAATCTTCTTTGGGCAAATCGGCGCCGTGATCCAAGAGCACCTTGACGTTATCCGGCAATAGCTTCGCCACGGCGTACTCCAACGGTGTTTTACCGTGCTTATTTTGAGCGTTGACCCGCAACGGCCGATTGGATTCGTCGCAGATCTTGAACAACATCCTCGCCGATCCGTCCTTGCAATCTCGCGCACAGATTAAGTGCAAGGGAGTATGTCCAAACTCGTCGTCGACTGAATTCGGATCCGCCCCTCTCCTCAGCAGCAACTCGGCTAGATCCTCTTTGCCGCGAAGCAAGGCCCGAAGAAACGGCGTTTCACGCGAACGGTTTCGAGCATCGATCCTCACCAGTCTATTAGATTCGTCGCAGGCTCGAAAGAACGTCTCGGCTAAGCCGGCGCCGGGGAAGCGACTCCAGCTCACGATGTACAGAGGAGTGTCCCCGTTCCTCGTGGCCAAGTTTGGATCGGCACCGAGTCTGAGCAGAAATTCGGCCACGTCTTCTCTGTTATTTTGTAGAGCCAAGTGCAGCGGCGTCCAACCCATCGAGTTTTGTGCGTCCACCCGAAGCGGGCGCCGCTCGTGCTCCCGTAATATCTCCTCGAACAGCGGCGACGAGTTGTTGTCACCCACGTCATCGGAGGGCTCTTTTTCCCGGCTGATGACGTGCAGAGGAGTGCGTCCATCTCCGTTGGCTGAATGCAGATCGGCGCCGGCTCTCAGCAGCAACAGCGCCGTTCGCTGGTTATCTCTTCCCAGTGCCAAGTGCAGCGGCGAGTCGCCGGTCTTTGGCACGAGGCAATTGGGATTCTGACCGAGCTCGAGGAATCTCTCGATGATTCCTTCATCGTTGGCAAGGCGACAGCAGCAGGCCAGATGGAAGTGCGTCAGACCGGTCGCCTCGTCGACGTAATCCACGTCGTATCTCGCGTAAATTTTGAGAAGCTTGAGACATAACTCATCGCGTCGGTCGCACGTCCAACCGATTCTTCTACACCTATTATACAATTCGAACAGACGATGCAGTGGTGTGGTGCGATGAAACAGCGGCCTGATTGTGGCTCCGCTGTTGCGGCTCTCGACTCCGACGGGCCCGTCGTCAACATAACCGCACCTGACCACGAAATCGACGATCGTCATTTTTGGAGCCCAATTGGAATTAACAAACGAATCGACGGTATCGTCGAGTAGAAGCTCGATTTCTGCTGGTCGAAAGATGTCCTGGAGATTGGGTAAGTCGTCGTCCTCCCAATTTTCCATTAACGGCTCGACTCGGTGAATAAAGTCGAGTCGATCTGTTTTAACCTTCCACTCGACGTTTTCTCGTAAGCTTTTTAACTGATTAAAACGGCTTTGCTCCATCTTTTAATGCTACACTCACACTACACACACGATATATTATACACTTATATTTGAAATATTTTTACTCTTTTACTAGCTGCGATTTTTTTACAGTTGTTCACTCTGCGGAGTTTTAATGGGTACTGATCTTTATGAAAAAACACATGGCCCAAGTGATGAGAGATGCAAGTGGCATCCGCTGTGCCCACTCCATTTCTACGCTTTCTAATTAAATCGTTGTATGCGCCCCTACCGTCACTACTTAGCAACTAAGAAAGAAAATTCGGGTTACTGATGCGTCTCATACCGCATACGTCTCTATAATTAAAAGTTGGCGGCAAATTTAATAGTCCAAGCCCCAGCTTCGCAATGCTCAAAAAAATTTTTTTAGTCGAGTTTTTTACATATTCCCATGTAAAATCCGAATTTGGATCTTGCCAGGCCCAAAAATGCGCCAAAAATTATTGATCCAAGAATTTCTCCCATATGTGAACCTGTAGGAAACTACCTTCCTGAGTAGAGAAAGATGGGAATCCAACGAACGTCAAGTTATGAACCATGAATTTATGTTTCAAATAAACGAAGAGAAACTGGCTTTAGAACAACGAGCAATAGGTAATAAAAATTATTCATACGTAAAAGAAAATTTTCCTTAATTAGAATATTTCTCTAATTATTTTTCTTTCAATTTTTTTCCCAGATCTTGATGTAGAATTTGAAGGCTTTTTAATGAGATGGCCGTAGATATATAAATTTTAATATATTTATCTTTAGTTTTTGACAATTCAAGTGAACCGATAATTTTTGTGTACATCAATTCATTTATAGTTAAACATATTTATATTAATGAATATTAACGTATGCAATAGTATGCATAATAAAAATTTCATAAAATTTATAAATAAATATTTTTCAAAATATTCTGAATATTCTGAATATGATCCATTTTAATATTTCTCTAAGTATTTTCTCATGTTATCATTCCTCGAAAAAACTTTCACTTCTCGGATTAAATTCTTGTCGCATCTGTTTATGTAATTTATATCTCAATATAAAAACTAATGTTAAATTTTAATTAATATTAATAAATAGTTTTAATAGGTTTTTTTGGAACTTTTAAAATAATTAATGTTACTAAAATTACGTAATGATTAAACTTGACAATTTTCGGAGTAACGTGTAGTGTATGTATTTTTTATAATTATAAAAATAAAAATCAAAAAAGAGTCAATAATTATATATGTTTTATTTTTTAAAAGCTTATTGATGATCATAAATTAATAAGACTGTATCGTACAACTCATTTAATGTGCATAGAAGTGTTAAACAAATCATTGAATTCATTATTTTTTTTTTAAACAAACTTGTTCAACTCTTTACACATACCTTTAATATCCCTTCGTTAAAGATGCGTTTGTGTCCAGGTGAATTTACAAAAAAAAAAAGACAAACTGATCGATATGATAGAGTCTCAGCTCTTATACGAGTAACGTAGGCATAATATTGCCTACTTTGATTATCAATTACGCTTAGAGTTTATGTGTGCAAGAATAATTAACCATTTGCATGAACGAGCATATGTAGAGTTGGTCCGTGTAAAAATAATTTAATTCGTGTATAGATCGCTCGTTCAGTTGTGTACAATTAATTCGCGCTATTCATCATTATACTCGTGTCAAGTTTGACCGTGTATAATTTTTCTTCACATTAGTGGTATAAAATTTCATGGCGTACAATAATTGTACAAACACGCATAAAATATTTGTGTGCAGTTTGTAATTTGATTTTCCATATTTTATTCTGCTTTCCAAGAGTGAATACGAAAAAATGATTGAAACATGATTTTTTATGTAAAATTTGATGAGGAATTCAAATCTGTTGCCAAAAATCATATTCATAAACTCCAAGTACCTTAATTCCCAAAAATCAGCTTAAATGGCAAAAATAAATATGTTCGTATCCAGGGATATGGCCAATATTGTAATATATTCATCGATATGCGTGTGTAAAAAAAACATGGTTTATCTCTAGATTTCCTATATACTTGACTCATATCATGTTCAATAATGAATTCTGCTCGTCTGCCAACTACCAAAATTTATCAGAAGTTGTATTTTGGTGTATCGATGAACATATTATAATATTGGCTATATCGCTGGATACGAACATGTTAATTTTTGCTCCTGAAGCTTTTTTTTGGGAATTAAGGTACTTGGAGTTTATGAATATGATTTTTGACATCAAATTTGAATTCCTCATCAAATTTTACATAAAAAATCATGTTTCAATCATTTTTTCATATTCACTTTTGGAAAGCAGAATAAAATATGAGAAATCAAAACAAAANGGGGGGGGGGGGACAGTTGACGCGATTTAGCCCATATACTATACAGTTCTGAGGTGTAAAGTTTGGACGGTGCCATCTTTTCAAAGAATATCTTCTTGAATCATAATAATGATTACAAATACTAACAAATTTACAAAAACCATACAACAGGCTATTGAATTATTCTATTTTAAATCATATAACAAAAATATACTCTACACGAGAAACCTTGTACAGTAATTTTCAACAATCAAAATTCACGATTTCAATGATTAATCAAAATACATATTCATGCAGCATTCAGACGTTGTACGTTCATCGTCATTTCTTACGCTAAGATCGTCCGCGCGAAACTCCGGCGTCAGATCGTGCTTGTCTACGTAATCCAGCAGCTCCCGTACGAGCTCGTCGATCCTCGCCCTGTAATCCGCGTCCTCCTCGTACAGCTCCATCAGGCCCTCGTTGCTCACGAAGTACTTGCGGTGAAAGTCGTGCTCGATCTCGACCTCGGGTCGGCTCTCCATTCGCGAGCCGATCGCCGCGTAGGGCACCGCGGCGAGAGCGAAGAACAGGCCGGGCAGTCTCAGCGCCTCGTACTCGGCGACCAGGTCGCTCGGTTCCAGCGGCTCGACCAGATCGTCGACTGGCAGCCGCATCCAGGCCAAGGCCTCGCGGGCCCACTCCAGGCACTCGTTGTACTCCTTGCAGTAGACGGCCAGCAGGTGGGGGGCGATGCGTCGGCGCTCGGCGCCCGGCAGATTCGCGTGGAGAAAGTTGACGAGGTCGAGGCTGCGCGGCGCGTAATAGAAGCGATTCGTGAAGTCCAGCAGGCAGTTGGTCGGCCGCGAGGCGTCGAAGAGCAGATGGCGCAGCCAGTTGGGCCCGACGCTCAGCACCTCGGGCAGTCTCTTGCGATTGGCGCCGGGCACTCGGCTCTCGTGCACCTGCCACATGTCCACGATGAAGCAGCCCAGCTGCAGGGCCTCCCTCACCTCCGGCCTCGGGTGACCCGTCAGACGCTCCGCTATCGTCTCCACGAGGCCGATCGTCTTCTCGTAGAAATTCGACTCGTGGGTACCGGGCGAGAAGGGCCTGCCGCGCCACAGGTGGGCGTGCTTGTCTCGCAGCGTCGTCCCCGCGGTCAGCCGCTGCCGGGCGTCCGTCAGACAGGCGGAGGCGTGGAGTCGCGCCAGCGCCCTTGCCAGGGCCTTGAGGTGCTCCACGCCGAGCTCCCAAGGGGCGATCTCGCGGTAGCCGCGCTGTCGCACGTCCTCGTAAGCGACGCAGCCCCTCGCGTCGTCCCTCATCAGGAGCTGCGGCATGAACTCGCGCCGGGCCAGCGGTATCAGGTCGCAGAGCACGAGGTGCGCCCCGAGGCCGCAGCGCAGCCAGTGTAATTGCCGCCCGAGCGGCGTCGGCTCGTCATCGACCCCCTCCGGTGACTGCTGAGGTGGTAGCTCCTGATAGACGACGTAGTAGTCGCGCTCGAGCGGCTCCTCGTGCTGCCAGACCACCGTGATGCGGAGCAGTTTGGGTGGCGAGACGAGGCGCTGCTGGGCGAACACGCCGCCCGACTGTCCTCCTCCTCCTCCTTTTCCTCCTCGGCGAAACTCGAGGCCCTGCTCGAGATTGACCAGGCAGAAGCGTTGCTTCGGGGTCTCGCCATCGAAGACGACGGAGCCGAAGAAGTAGCGCCGTTGTATCATCTCGCGGACGAAGAGCGCTGCCTCGTAGATGCTAAACACGTACGGCATCGTCTTATTTTTTATGTGGATTTTCGTGGTTGTCGTTGCTCTGTGTGCGCGTGTGTGTGTATTACTGCGTGACGTTCGAGACGCGATGAGCAAAATTAGACTGCGTCTCTTGTGGCGAGCTGCCGGAGAGATGAGAGTATAAACAAAGTCGAGAGATATTTGTATTATCGTTGTTATTGGGAGAGAATAGGATGATGTGATTTATACTGAAAATTAATTCAAATGAGTAGGGAAATTTTCTATTTATAAAGAACGCTCATAATATTACGGTGAGATTGAAAAGAATTACTATGCATACGAGTACTGGTACTTTTTGAAAATGATAGCTGTAATTTAGCTTTTATCGTTGGAAAAGCAAATTTATACCCCAATGGAAGTGTCCAAAATCCGAACTTTTATTTCAGTTTAAAATAAAGTTGTTTTTTTAAATTTTAAGTTTATAAAAATTTTTATTTCAGCTAATTTTGAGTTGAAATCGAAAACCGGGTAAAAGCGTTTGTTTTGAAGATTTCATAAAAGTTTATGAAAGTTGTAGAATTAAAAAAAAAAATTTACTCGATTATAAAATGCAGCTGATTTGGAGTTTAAAAAAAGATATAATTACATTGACTTGTAATAACTCGATACCAGTACTTCATCAATGTTTATTTTTCTCGACAAAGGCAGATGTTGATGAAACGTTGCGAAATAGTTTTAATGAAAAAAGGCCAGGAATAATTTCAATTATTGGTGTTGTTGAATTTTTTGTTGTCGAGCAATCCTTATAGAGATTGTGTTTTTAAAATTTAAAATTGTGACATGATAAAGGATATCTAATAACTATGATTCTGTGGCGGAAAGGCATAAGTCTATTTTTTTGGAAATCGATTTTATGATGAAAAACGCCTATGTTTAGTGTCTACTTTAACGTACAAGGGTCAGAATAGACGAGTATACCGTCTATCGTTAGTTGCAGCATCGTGCATAATGACTTAAATTCATTTCGTAAGAAACGAGGAAAGACAAAAGGACTTACGTCCATATTTTTTTCTCCGTTTCATCGCTATGATGCTCCTTTCAATTTCATAAGTACATAACACCGTAGGCAACAGCACCATGACCAAATTCATGGTCGGTTCCACCGTCGATCGCCTCCTCGACAACATCCACGTGAGCGAGCTGGAGGACAGCGCGAAGCGAAAGATCTACCTGTACAGCGCGCACGACTTCAATCTGGTGACGTTCGAGGAGGCGCACAATTTCACCGAGGTCCCGGTCATTCCGGACTTTGGCTCGGCCATCGTCGTGGAGAAGCTCAAGGACAGACGCGGCCGGATTTACATAAGGCTGAGTGCGTGGAGACGATATAAAAAAAAAATGACGATACTATCGTTGTAATTTCGCGCGCAGATGTTGCTGTGGACAGGCGCCGAGGAGCAGATGTTGCCCCTGAAGATCCGCGACTGTTCGGATCCGTGTCCACTCGATAGGTACGAGCGTCTGGTCGAGCACATCAGATTCCGCGACGAGTACAGATGCGAGTCGGCGGCGGCGGCAGACACGAGGCCGAAAGGTCTCAAGGTCGGCGCTGGTATTCTCCGGGACACGGACGATCAGTCGGCAGGCGGTAGAAGGCGCAGAAGAAGGAGATTCGACGCCGACGAGCAGCTGGCGGTTTTGTATTGTGCTGTTGAAAATTAGAAATTATGAGTTTTTGTCCGTGGCTGCCAAGCAAATATTCCACAAATCTTGGTTATATAAATAACCAATGATCATTTCGCAGCAAAGAATTGGCAATTGGTAACGGATCAGATCCAAAAAAAAATCCAATGCATATCGTCGGTAAAATCTTTTCGTCATCATCTCGCACAGATGATCAGCACATTTATCACCTTCGCACGTTTCGGGAAGGAGATAAGAATCATATTTACGCGTCAACGCGAAATAGTCTGAACATGTAACTCGTTTTGCCGCCTCTTCGGGTCGTAACCGAATCAGCTCGTAGAGGGTCAGATCCGGCTTTATCATTATCTCTTTTGCTTCACTCGCGAACTCTTCTTCATCGTACCAATAATAGTCGAATTCTTCGAATTCTCGGAAACCGAAACTCCAGTGTTTATCAAAACTTTTCATGATTGTTAAGGCGTTGTTTCGGCCCAATAAGTACCCTTTTTTCTCGAGGCACTCGACCACGGTCAGAGCACCAGACGCTACTCTCAATTGAAAATTACTCAAAGGTTCATCGTGTTCAAACTCAAGTTCCTTACCAAAGTAACTCGAGTCGGGGAAAACGAAGCTCGACAGATCAGCGCCATGATCCAAAAGTGCATCGACCACATCCGGCAAATGATTCGCTACAGCCAACTGAAGAGGTGTGCGACCCAAGTGATCCTTTGCGTCGATCTGCTGATGTTTGTCGTCGTTGATCTTGAAGAGTAACTGCACCACGTCGTCTTCGTCGTCGTCGTCGGGATCGCAGCTTTTACCATAGAAATCCAAGTCGTATTGTATCTGGCAAATAATGTGCAGAGCTATCGAACCCTTTACATTGGCCAATGTTGGGTCGGCCCCACGTCTTAGCAGCCATTTTGCCGCCTTCATATTGCTTTTTGATAACAGAGCCAAATGCAATGGTGTGTTACCCTCATTGTCCTGAGCATTAATTTGCACCGTCTGCTGAATATCGTCATTGGTTTCGAAGAATAACTTAAGCATGTAATAAACTTTCTGGTTTTCATCAATCATAATGTGCAGAGGAGTCAATCCCTTCGCGTTGGGTACATTAGGATTTGCGCCGTTTCTCAGCAGTAATTCCATCGCCTTATCCTTACCAAATTCTGCAGCTAAGTGCAACGGTGTGTTACCCTCATTGTCCTGAGCATTAACTTGCACTGATTGCTGCTTGTCTGGTGTTATTTTAAAAAACATCTCTAGTACGTCGGTGTTATACAAATTTAATATAGCTATACTGTCTTTGAAAATTAAATGCAGAGGAGTCATTCCCTCCTCGTTAGCTGAATTTATATCGACGCCCTTCTTCAGCAGCATTCGAATCAATTCCTTGTCGTTCCACTTCAGAGCCAAGTGTAGCGGTGTATTACCCGACTTGTCTCGAATTTTGAGTCGCACCGTTTGATTCAATTCTTCGATGACCTTGAAGAACATCTTCGTCGCTGCGCGGTTATTGCGATAAGTATCGCGAATAACGTGCAGAGGTGTGAATCCATAGGCATCGGAAAGATTCGGATCAGCGCCATTTCTCAAGAGGATCTCGGTGACATTTATGCATTCGTGCTTCAGAGCCAAGTGTAGCGGCGGATCGACCGTTGCTCGTACCGGAAGGCAATTGGGATCCTGACCGAGCTGGAGAAATTTCTTGACCACGTCTGTACATCCAAGCTGGCAGGCCACGTGAAAATGTGACAATCCAGACTCGTCGGTGTAGTTAACGTCGAATCTGTCGTAGATTTTAAAAAGATCCGTGGCGACGATCCGTTGATTAGCACGATGTACTGGTGTGGTGCGACGCGACGATGGCTTACCGTCTTGACCGATGTCGGGCTTGTCTTTGTAGCCGGTGCTAGCCACGAAACTAATGAAACATTGTCCTATCCCTTCCCAGCTGTTTCTATTACAGTAACTTATAGAATCCGATAGAAGAAACTCGATTTCTTCCTTTGCAAAAATATCCAGGAGATTAGGAAGTTGGCCCTGCCAACTTTTGATCAAAGGATTAAGTCGACGAAGAAATTCTATTCGTTCGCAATCGACCTCCCAATTGACCTCTTGCCGCATAGTTTTTAATTTTTTCAAATATTTTACGCTGGCTGGGGGCATTGTTCGGCACTTTCACACACTACCGCACGTATTGATCACAGTTTATATTCGAATTCTTCACAAGAATCAGTGGCTGCAGATGATGTAGTCTTTATTCGATGTTTACGCTGCGGTGTCGTAACGTGTACTGACTACTGACCATACTCGCGCCACGACCTTGCATATGTCTCGAAATCCCAATATTGGCGTCGCCGTTCGATCGAAAAACTCGTACGAACACGCACAGCAGCTCGAGCGAAGCTAGAGTCGGTGGCAGTCGGCATAGGCAAGCGCGAGAGGGATTAACAGAAGTACAGTACCCGATGCTATCCTTTCTTTGACATAAAACGTTTAGTTACAAAGTCATGAGCGGAGATCGAGTAAGCATATTCGAGATCTACAAGCTAAACACGAGTTTGTGTACGTTCTTTAGTTAATGCATCGAGTACGAAAATGAAACTCGTTTTTTTTTCTCGAAAAGGCATCAAAAACAAAAGTTGTAAACAAACTTACCGTAATATGACTTTTACGATCCTGTAAAAAAGTCCGAGTAAAAACATACGTATTTATTGAATAGTATTGAAAGTTTTTTGTTCGTTGCATTTTTTGAGAAGTCTTTCATTCCAAGATAAAAAATCACAAAGATTAAAAAGATGATGGTATTGCATGGTTATTGTTCTTTAACATAAAAAATCGCGCACCAAACATGTGTATTGTAAACTTATTCAATTAAGTAGCTTCCTTTCGAAATTCATCATTGTGCTTTAAAAAAAAATTGAAAGACGTGAAAGTTTTTTTATGATTATTTTTATGATTATTCGTAAATAAAATAGAAATAAATTCGAAACACCAGTAAATTAATGAATTCGACTTTTCGTTTAATAATTTCGATTGTAAAACACATTGTTAAACAAAGAAAGTTTACAGAGCTATCGAAGGTTTATTGAAATAAACTTATTACGTATGTTCATATGTATACCAATCGTAAAATAATATGTAATAATATTATTACATACGTAAAGTAATCGTGAGTCTACAAATCGCCTGCCAAGCAAATGTGATACAAATCCCGGGCGGTCATATTGTCCAACATCTTTTGACAGCAGACGAGCGGCAACTCGTACTGGATCATCCGAATAAACGAATCCAGGGCCCGCAACGCCGGCAAAGCCGCCTCATTATTATCTCGCACAGATAGAGATAGCAGGCTGCAGGGCTCCCAGAGCCTCTCGGGCAGCATGCACAATTTGCTCGAGTACGCGAGGAATATATTATATAATGTTAAATATATTTAGAATAATGTAACCGAAACGTTATCAACTTTTTCATGTACTTTAAATAGTTTTGTTCATGTTCAAAATATGATCTATTATTCAAGTTTTATAGTAGTTATGCACAAAGTCGATTTTCGTCGGGGGAACAAGTTTCTATTTTTAGTTTAGAATGCCATTAACGTCCGGATGCATTTTCAAAGATTCGACCCATGAACATCGTTGGTCAATTATATTTAACGAAAGCCAAAAATAAAAGTGAATTAATTTTTCGTTCCAAGTCCCGCGCGATCGATTCTGCACTGACCGACAGACGCTCAAGACTCTCGCGGACGACGAAGCTTCCACTAGATGGCGCGTTCGTGCACAAAAACATCGCGACTCGCTGCCTCTGCTGACTGCTGCTGCGGCTGTCGTAGTTTACGTTCACTGACGTTCTTTTTATGTGTACACGCGATGTTTACAATCACAAGTACAAAAGCAGGCGAACACGACGACGCGCTGTCAAGTCTCTATTTTGACAGATGACACGGGACACCTGCTCGGATACCATCGAGTGCGGATACTTGTATAATCGTGAACTGTGCTACAATTACAATTTTAATTAATCCGTGATGCGAATAAGTGCTGCTACGGAATTGACTCTCCGCGATGTGCCGTCATCGTCAACATCGTCGTTGTCGTCGCCGTCGTCACCCGGAAGAATTTGCGGGCAATTTGGAATTGCTCGGGAGTGCGACGATTATGCGTGTTCCTCGTGCTTCCCCGACGACTCGTTATAGTTCCTCGCGAGAGAGAGAGAAGAGGAGAAAAAAGACTTGCACTCGTTTTTTGTTTGATAAATAAAGTGTTGGTACACGATGGGTAAAGCCAGGGGAGTTCACGAGACTACTCCTGAGCTACGCAATCGCATGGTTGGCATGTACGAAGCAGGCCTCAAGCTCAAGGAGATTGCCGCTGCCATCAATTGTTCGGTAAGCATAAGATTACTCCACTAGAAGTCTAAGAAATTTCAACAATACGACTCATTACTCTTTACAGCAAAGAACAGTGAAACGCTGGCTCAATAGATTCAACAAAGAAGGAAATGTAGAAACTAAGGATAGATGTGGTCGTAAGCGAGCAACTACCAAAGAACAAGATGAAGCCATCGTTCAGTTGGCTATGCAAACTCCTTTGACGGCTGCCAAAGCTGTCCTGCCAGCTCTAGGATTGAACTGCTCTGTGGATACTGTACGAGAAAGATTACATAGGGCTGGCATACACAATTGGAATCCACCTAAAAAGCATATAGAAAAGATACCATTGAAGTATGTATATTATTGATGCTTTAGCAATTTTACAATTTATTTGTATTTTGATTTCATTTTTTAGTACTTCTGAAGGAAAAGAACTGCAACAAGCTGTGTGGAGACCGACTGGCACTAAAGTTGGTAAAAAAAAGGTAGATAAATTGAATAAAGAAAAATCAAATGTCTCTGAAGCAACAGAAAAGTCAAAATCAACCAAAAATAGCAAGTCAAAAGAATCATTTGAAGAAAACAGCTTATCAAGTGAGATAATTGAGCCTACCGATGTACACACAAACTTTTTGTTTGGTAACAAAATCAATGATTTGCAAAATGAACCAGCAATTCAACCCCATGGAATTGACATGCCACCATCGTCAACTTCTCCTTTACCATTATCTACAAATTTAACTCAGTTCAGTCACTCTCTTAGTCTATTGCCGCAGAATCATCAACCAGTTTATCATCATCATCCAGGCCTCACCCATCACTGGCCTATCGATAGCAGTGCTCATAATTATACACATGTTAGTACTCTCTTTTATAATTTTTATAAAATTTATAATAAATACATAACATATTTAGATTTAATAATTTATTCTATTTATTTCAGAGCGCTTTTAGTTCTATTCATCAAGAACCACTGCTTCCGCTCATCACAACTAATGCACAGATTCATAATCAACCAGACAAGCCAATGACATCACTTATGCATGATCCACTGCAAATACCTATCCACAGCGACATTGTTCAACAGAAGAGTGACTTTCATCCGGATCTGCCTGATCTATCTCTAGATGAACATCAACAGGAATCTCAAGATATTATAATAAATGTGTGCTCTGATGTTTGCTCGGAAGCAGATAGCAGTTCCAATGAAAACACTCAAATTTCAAGCATAGGCAATGAACTGAACAACGATATAATTTGTGATACTAGTGATAATAATCAAAACACAGAAAATGTTACAAAAAAGAAAAGCGGTAAAGCTAAAGGAACCTTGGAAACTAGTCTTGAAATTCGCAATCGCATGATCGGAATGGCTGAAGCTGGCTTATCGACTTTATCCATTGCCTTGGCTATCAATCGATCGGTAAAAACAAATCATATATTATTAATTTTTCAAAATGAATACTCTAGTAATTTTAAAAAGTCTTCTTATCTTTCTCTTTATTTTTTAGGAACGAACGGTAAAGAGGTGGCTCGATCGTTGGCGCAAAGAGGGCAACGTGCAAACGAAGGAAAGAAAAGGGCGCAAACGCATAACGACCAAGGAAGAGGATGAAGCCATCATCGCGATGGCAACGAAGCAACCGCTCACGGCGGCAAAAAATGTTGCACCGGCCTTGGGGCTAAAATGTAGCGTCGATACGGTACGAGAGCGACTACACAAGGCTGGCATTCACAGTTGGAAACTCGAGAAAAAACAAGGGTTGGTATTTTAAAAGGATACTCGATTGATTTGGTTGAAAATAAGTAGATTGATGTTTGACATTGTTCGCAGAGAGGGTAATTCATCGCACGTAGTGCATCTCTGGCAAGCCAGTGGCAATAGAGCTGGAAAAATTAAAAGTAAATTGGATAAAAAGAAGAAATCGACGAGAAAAAAGAAAAATTCCAACAATAATAATGATAACTCGAAACAAAAAGTCGTGGAAAAAGTTTCGGAAGTACCTTCTTCACCTCACCGATCTCCACCTGTACAGGAAATGAATCTGCCCACCGACAACGTCAATACGTCCTATCAAACTCAACCTCACGGTAATCATGCGATTAATAATTAAACTATTAAAAACGTCATCAACATTCTTGACCTTTTATTATACGCTTCAATTTACAGTTACTACGCCTGTGCACAATTTATCCAGCCTGAACCTGAATTGCGACCTGGTGCAACCACCGCTTCCTCCAGCAGCACCACCACCACCGCCGACTTATCATCATCATCACATTCACCATCACCACCAGCATCATCATCATCATCAAACGCCGAGCTCGCTGTTCCCGCAGGGGCCGATAGCGCCGCCGATCGGCAGCCTTCATCATCATCATCATCAACCCGTTGCCGCAGCCGCCGGCATGGGATCTCTGATGCAGCCCCGAGCCGACTGCCGATTCGCCTTTCCGCCGATCATTCCGCACCACCACCACCATCAGCCGACGACGACGACCACCTACCCGTCTTGCATGATGTCTGCGGCAGCGAACGGCGTCGGTGGCAGTGGTATCGTCCCGCACACCACCGCCGCCGTCGAGCAAAGCGACGTTATGAATTACGAGCCTTACGTCTGGAGTTTTTAAAAAGAGAGAAAGACACGATAGTGACGCGTGTGTTACCGATAACGTTACAAGTTCCAGTGAGTTATGTGATAATCTAAGATTAGGCACTCGATATTTATTGTAAATAATTATACTATATTAAGTTATAAGAAACAATGAGTCAATTTCACGATCTTTAAATGTCTTCGTCAAATATAAATATTGTAAATATATTTTGTGTACCGCCGAGTATACCAAATGGGAAATACAGATATTTTAATTGAATCCGAAAGCTCTTGAGACTTGCAAAAATCTTAGAAACAAAAAAAAACAAGTCGTGCTGCTGCTGCTGCTGCTACCCACACGCGTCACGAATGATTGACAGAGGCAATAAAGTCAGTCTTTCCACGCTCGCGCACACACAGGCGATCGGGTGATCGTTATAATCCTCTCTCTCTCTTTCAAGTAGGTGGAAGAGGAGGAGGAGGAGGAAAAAATGTCGAAACAAAAAAAAAAAATAAATAAAAAAACGCAAAGATCAATGCGCGGAGGCGCGATCGCGTTCGATTGTATTACATTTATAAAATATATAATAAAGGGGCGCGGGTGAACAATGGAGGTGCTGCAGCAGCAGCAGCAGCGACGAGAAAGATGACGCGCGGGAAATCGGCGCTCGACGCGCGACGCCGACGATCGATTATAATCTCTCTCTCTCTCTCTTGTGCGAGCCACCCACGTGTGTCAGTGGTATATATCGCGCGCGACCGTACAATAGCGCGAACTCGCGCGACGTCCGTGTGTGTACATAACCCACGCGTCCTTGCCCGTGCGACTTTCTTTTCCTCTCCGACTCGTTGGCGCAGTTGTATGTATGTGTGTGTATGGTATATAACACACATACCACACATTTATATATAGTAGTAGTAGTAGTAGTAGTAGTAGTATGTAAGGATATGCGTGGGCGAGTGAGAGAGAAGTGAACGAGTCGAGAAGCCCACACGCGCCAGCACGGGGCTCTCTCATGAGAAACTTGGCGCGCGAGCGAGGCACCGAGAGAGTTCCGCAACGACCCAGTTGATAACGCCGCGCCGCGCACGCGTGCCTATATACGTGTATAAAGTACTTTTTATTAATGTTAAACGTTTCGAGAGATTAAAAAGCCGAGAGGGAGAGGTGTATCGAGCGTTATATTGTACACACACACAGACATTTACATATTATTAAATTGTCGAAGGCCTTGGCTCGGCTCGAGTAAGTGTGCAACGCGCTCCTTATTAAGGCCTCTCGTATATGCTATACTAGAATCTCCATCGCTGTTTATTATTATTATTATTTTTATTCATGCAAACGTTGAATATTTAAAATAGTCATTTTCAAATCCACAAACTCCGAATTCTCTCTGTCTCTTTTTTTGTTGCTGTTGCTCTCTTTCTCTGCGGGTACACATATCGTACGTGCGCGTGCACGCATTATTGCAGGGCTTGAATTACGCTCTCTCGGCTTCATTCATACAGAGCGCAAAAGTCGGCTATTTAGAGCCGCGCACGTAATTTCAGGTCTATTATAAAAGAGAGAGAGAGAGAGACGAATCGCTCGCGCGCGGCCGAGATTAGTATTCATCGTAGAGGCCTACTACTCCGACGACGAGGCATTTGAATAGTCAATTGTGTGCCATTATTCTGTCGCTCGTTCTCTCTCTTTATATGCTAAAATCTGCACAACGAGAAATGAAGAGAAAAAAAAATCAGTAGAAGGAAGGAAAATTCACGATAATAAGGTGTACCCATCTAAATACAAGCGCTCGAAGTAATAAACTTCTTTTTTTTTTTTGCATTATTATAGACACGCACGACGTCGCACGCGTGCCGTTTCGTCGACTCGTATAACGACGATTTGAAAAATTCGGCGCTAACAATACACGCATCGCTTCATTACAATATTATGTACGACCGTCCGTGTGTAGGATACGTACGTATAAATACGCGTTGTATGTGAATGAATGCGCTGCTCTCTACCTATATCTATATATATATATATATACGTATTTGCAAAGGCGGATAGTAGTTCTGCGAAACGCGCGGCGTGCGAAGGTGTACATAGCATATAGGATATATATACACCGGTATAAACTGCACGCACGGGTGGGTGTTGTATGTATATATATGCGACTCGCGGCGGGGCCTTATACACTCTATACAGCAGTGACTGTGTGCCCGTGCCTGCCATACATGGTGATGTGGTAACGGCGGCTCTAGACTCCCACCCGCTGTTCTCTCTTTCTGTCAGTATGTCCGCACGGATATGGGGCCCCCGGAGCCGCCGCCGCGAGAGAGAGAATTCAGTTTTCGCGCGGAGCAGCTCCTTGACGCACGCACGCACGCGAGAGAGAGACCATATACGTTCGAGCTGCTGCGGGCCTCTCCGTGTTTCGTGTATCTAAAAGAAAAAGAGGTGATTTTCGGTCGGAGCACCTGTATATCTTTGTTTCCGGTCTTGTCTGTTTGCACAACTGTGTATCTCTCTGTGTGTCTGTGTTTATTTTTCTCTCTCGCCGTTGTGATTCTCAGCTGTAATTTTCGAGTGATCTGTGTGTCCGTCTGTCAGTATATGATAAGTGCGTGCGTGGGCGGTCGGCGCGGACCATGATAGTGCGTCCAGTGAGAAGTACCACCTCGTAACCGACATCCGACGAGGCGACCATCATCTTCGGACACATACATACACACACGTTATAAGGCTACCAAAGGCTCAGGTAATTTGCACTCCAGACGACATAAAAATAATTACGAAAAAAAAAAGAAGCAGCGAAGGAGTAAAGTAATCGCATCGAGCGGTAGCGTATATAGTAACGCGTATACCTGCGGTCTCTGGACCATACGACACCTACGCACACCTGTACGCGACTTATTACATTATCTCCTCGCGTCTATGTACATATTATGCACGGCAGTACGTGTATCTCGCATCCGCGCGCTAACGGACGAATTGCGACATTCTAGTAGTAGTACGAATATAATTTATATTATATCTCGTTATACAGGTATACGAGACGCCTACGGAAACCCGAGAATGACTTTTCTCTCGCTTTTTTATCGAGTGCCATGTATATACCTTATATGAGATTGTGATTATTAATTTAATCACGTATTTACATTTCTCGAGCGCGCGCGCGCGCGTATGACTCAATTGTGTGTGAATTTCTCCCGATATACATTATTTATCGAAAAAAAAGCTCTCTTTCCGCCTTGAGGACATTTTTTTCGGATATATAATATGTATATACAACGGAGAAGCCGGTTCGATTTTTCGGGTCCGAGACTCGCTCCTTGGATAATTTATACATTCATCGAGGAGCCGAGAGGAGTAGTCGTCGAGCGCGATTTTTTCTCTTAATGGATTTACCGGAGCGAATATAAGAGAGAGAGACAGAGAAGTAGAAACGGAGAGACCGGATGCAGGTCCCTCTCGAGCTCGCGCGTACACACTACACACACACACACACACACACACACACACACACATCAGGTATTTTTAACGATGAGTTATTTATTTGACTTGGACACACACACAATTGCGTCACCGTATGAGCGGCGGGCGCGGATTTCGGATGGATATGTGAGAAAAGCGACGTTAAAGTAAACTTTAAAAGTAAAGTATAAAGTAAGAGAGAGAGAAAAAAAAGAAGAAGAAGAAGGAGTGTACGAACGACAACGGCTCGCGAGAGAGATAAAGATATAGGTATAAGAGAGCAAAACAAGTGTGCCGTGTCCGCGCGCGCGCGCCCGAGCAGCATAGCAGTTGTGTTGCATATAAGAAAGAAAGGAAGGCGAGTGTGCGGAGCGCAGAAAACACGTGGGCGCCAAAAGAGACTTGAATGGAAAGGAGCGCGGAGGATACACACACATACACGCGCGTATGTAGACATTTGCATTTAAAAGAGCGACTGCGTACGGACACACATACGCGCGCGCGCATATGTATAATATAAGGATAGTGTGTATTGAAAAATCAACATGTTGCGTATATGTATATAATGCGCCTGGGCGTACGCGCGTATGTACGTACGTATACGCGGGCTCCAAAGAAGTCGGTAATTAAAATACTGCGTTCGCGTACGTACTAACCGGTTTTCATTCTACAATTTTTTTTATTCACCAGTAGTTTCGAGCGAGCGACCGGTATATATCCGAAAATATGAATGCGTTGTATATAAATTTCTTTTAACGACGCGAGCCCATATAGCGATGTATCGGCGGATACGTGTATGTATGCGTATGCGCGCCGCCGGTGTAAGTGCCAATTTATGAATGAATGGCCGGCAGCGGCAGCAACTATATATAATACAGGTAGTGGTGCATCATCGCTGTATTACATAGCGTGGTCTGCGTTTGTTACACGCTTTTATCTGTTTTTTTTTTTTTTTTTTTTTTTTTTTTTTTTTATTGTTTTATGTACAGTCGACCCCCGCTATTCGCGGTTAATTGGTTCTAAAAAAGTACCGCGAATAGCGAATCCGCGAATACCGGGGCCCATTTTACATTATTTTATATGGACAAACAAGAGTATCGTACCATGTCACATCATTTTGTACCAAATTTATTGTTTTTAAATATTATAAAAGACAATAAAGTTCACTTTTTTACAAAAAAATCGGATAGACGGGATTGCTTATTAATTGAAATTTTAGATATGGAAAATTTTGAGCTGACATATGATCAGCAGAAGCACTTTCACCTACGTATATGGTTACAATTTACGATAAAGTTTATAACCTCAGAAAATTTAAAAATTTAAAATATGCAATTAACCTGAAAAAGATATGTTATGCAGCGAGAATCTACGCTTGAATCGATGGAACCACCCCTTGCTTGCAGCAAAAGATTCATTATCACTGGCTCCATACTTATTTACAACGTAGGTGTAAAATGTCAAAGCTTGTTCCTGTATCACAGCGCCACTTAACGGTATTTTCTTTCGGATTAAATCTTGTATCCACACAATCAAAAGATTTTCCATTTTCACTATATTCTCTTGACGATTAACTTTGGCATGTTTCATTTGAGAGCCCAAAATCGATGCAGCATCCCGAATATTCTTTTCATTTTTATAAATGTAACGAATAGTCGATTCGTTAACATCAAATCTTCGCGCCAGAGCACACACTTTTTCGCCGCTATTTAAAAGTTCTAAAATTTTAAGTTTAGTTGATATGTCCATAATTTTTTTACTTCTTTTAACTATTCCCTTAGAATTTGTTTTTTTATTATTATTAGATTTATTTGCTGGAGCCATGATGAAAATTTCAACGAGAAAAAAAACACAAGTTCGATTACAATATGAAGATGGTTACATAAAATCGCGAATATACGGGGTCCAAATCCGCGAATGACGGAGGATACCCTCATTTGTTGAATCGCGAATATGCGGGGATCGCGAATAGCGAATCCGCGAATAGCGGGGGTCGACTGTACTATAATAAGCAGAGAAGCGCATAACGTAATTTTCAGTTGTTTTTTTTTTTTTTAATTTTAACCCTTATTATTTTTACATTTTTTTTATTTCACAATTTTTTTCCTCTCTCTCCCTCCTCGCCCCTGATACGCACCACGCTCGTAACTACGCACACGACTCTCGTATTATAAACACGAGTAGAGAGAGAGATAGAGAAAGTTTTTACAATTTTTTTGTTTTGTTTTTGGACTCGACGTCGTTATGAAAATATTTTTCGCTATCCGCATAGGTAATACTGGTTTTGCGATTTTTTTTTCTTCCTCTTTTTTTTTTCGTGTTTCGTTCCTGCCGAATACGCACACGATCGCTCGTTCACCGCTGCCGCTGCGTACACACACGCATAGGATATAGGTATAATAACGATAATAATCATCGCATGAACAGTGAAGCGAACGAGAGAAAGAGAGAGAAAGAGAGGGCATACATAAATCATTCGGCATGCGGCAACGGGCAAGTGGAACGGAACAAGGTTGCAGGCAATTTCATCATCATCATCGTCGTATATATACGCCCGCGCCGCGTGTAGGTGTATTTTAACGCACAGACACGAATAGTAGGAAATCCTAGATAGAAACGGCCAACCGGAAGTCGTCGCGGCTCTATCACTTCTTCTTCTTGTTCTGCTGCTTCTCGGCCGCCTCCTTCTTTGCCTGCTCCTCGGCCAGCTCGTCCTTCTCCACCTGCTTCCTCTTCTTCTCCTGCGGCCAGTCCGCTTTCCACTTGTTCAGCTTGTCCAGCTCCTTCTGGCCCAGTCGAGGTCTCTCCGCGAGCATCTCCTCGAGCAGCTCCCCCGGTCCAAAAGGTCTCTTCCTCATCTCCATGCTCCTGCGCAGTCCCGTGAGCCGCTGGCAGGTGCGCTGAGCGGCGGCGAGTCCCAGTCGATCGGCGGCCACACGCACCGGTCCCGCGAGACGCTCGTGACGATCGACCCGCGGATGTCGCATCAGCAGCCGCTTGCACTCGAGATAGAGACTACCGTAATCCGCCAGCGGTATCCAGATGAACTTGTCGTGCAGCTTGACGAACTGACGGCTCGCCTTGTTTGGCTCGAACGACGTCGTGAGAAATAAAACCTGTGTGTAGAGAAAGAGATGTGTGTGCAATTTTTTGTTTGAGGAGAAGGAAGGAGGAAGGGGGAGACGAAGGGATCGTCGTGTGTAATCGCGTGTGCGTTGTTTGTTTTGCAGCACGCGCGCGAAGCGGCGCAAACTTGTAATTTGAGCCGCGCCGAGAGAGAATTCGTTGATTATATAGTGGGTCGTTATCGCGTGTATTAGCATTGTTGTAGATACCTCGATGAAGATTGCTCAAATAAGTTATCTTGCTAGTTCTTAGCACGAACTTGCGTGTTTTTATAGAAACAGTAGAAATTCTGACACAAGTTCAAAAAATTGACAAGTTGTCTTTCTAAATATTAGCATGAACTTATATAAGATTTTACGTAAGAACTTATGTTAAGTCACATGTGAGATCTTGACCACAAGTATAAAAAATATTCTGTTTTGTAACAGAATTAATACATTTGTTTATCGATTTTTTTTAGTCAAGATTTTAAAGAACCTAAATGAGGGAGTAAGATTTTGCATAAGAATTTACACAAAATAAGATTCAAGATTTTGACTAAAAAAATCCACAAACAAATGAATTTTCTTGTAGCTAATAATTCCAGCTTTAAGCAACTTGATAGTTGCAAGTAATCAAGCAAGATCTTACGTAAGATCTTACTCCATCCATCCATCTCTACCTGATCGCCCGCCCTTATGCTCGACACCAGCTTCTTATAGATCGGCGCGAATCTCTTGGGCTGAAATCGCCTCAGCTCCGCCGGTATCTTCTTCAACCATGCCATCTCCGTCTCGACCAGTATCACCGACGGGGCGCACTCCCGGGCCAACCTCGTCACCGCCTCGGTCAGTCGCTGCTGGCTCTTGCGCGACTTGAAGCGCGACCTGTGCCGCTCGGGCGACAGATCGAACACCGTGGCCCGCAACTCGTTGCACACCGCGTGAGCGAGGAAGGTCTGGCCGCAATCGGGCCCGCCGCAGATGCACACGGCGCGGCAGGGCTGCGGCGCGAGTTGTCCTACGAGGCGCGAGGCGATAGGGAGCACGCAGTAGTCGACGATGGGCTGAACGACGTCGCCGAGGCGTACACGGCCCGAGTCGAGGGCGTCGTGGGCCAGACTGGCTTGGCCGGGCCAGTCGCGCAGTCGGGCGCCGGTGGGTGCCTCGTGGGAGAGCACCTTGGCGCGGACCAGCTCGACGTAGAGCTCGTCGCTCGGCACCTCGGCCAGCGGCACGTTCGGATTGTTCGGTGGCGGCGGCTGGATCGGAAACTCCTGGGGCGGCGGGAACGCGATCTCGCCGCCCTGCTCGGCTTTGTCGGTCATCAGGGCGTCCTTCAGTTGAGCCAGCTCCGGCCTCATTCTTTCATCCGCGATCTTGCGCATGTCCAGCTGCAGCTTCTGGCCGATATCCTCCCTCAAGTAATCCAGCAGCAACTTGGCCCCGGGATCCAGCAATTCTTGGCTCTTGGCCTCCCACCTGTCGTAGTAGTCGCGCTGCGTCTGCTGCAGCAGCGGATAGATCTTCGACTCTCGCATCGTCCAGCCCTCGGGCTCGGCTTGGCCCTGCTGATCCGAGCCCTCGTCCGGCGGTGGCGCCTTGTCCGGGGTGGCCTTCATGTCGGCCGGTGTTCTGGCCTCGCCCGTGGCCAATCTCACGGTACCGCCGTACTTCTCGTCGGGTATCGAGTCGAACAGCTCCAATTCCTTGTACCAGTCCCACATCCAGACACGTATCTCCTCCTGGATGTCCTCGACCAATTCCGGCCCTCGCACCTCGTACATCTAAACGCAAAAAAAAATAAAAAATACAAAATCCTCACAAAAAACCGACATCGAGCGTACCCTCTCCGTTTCCTTCTCCACGAGTCGCCTCATGGCCTCCCCCGCCTTGGCGTGTCTCTCGGCCAGGGCCGCCTCGAAGTCGCGCCACGACTCGATGCAGCTTCTCGGGCGCGGCTCCTCGCCCCGATCCGCCAGCGTCATGCCCAGCAGTCGCTCTAATTGCAGCCGCTTCTGCTCGGCTCTGCGTCGGCCCGCCCGAGCCCGCCAAGTCTTTTGTATCCGCACGGCGGCCGCGGCCTGCACCGACGCGCTCGCCTCTTCCTTCAGCTCACCCGCCGCCAATTTTCGATCCAATAAACGGCGCAGCTCCGCTGTTTGCAGTTTGCGCGCGAGGGGGAGAGAAAAAGAGAGCCGAGTTTTAAAATCTGTTGTTGTTATGGTTGTTGTTGTTGTTGTTGTTGTGCGTACGCTTCGTTTCCGTCTTTTCGACGGCGGAGAGAGAAGAGATTTATTATCTTCGTGGGTAAGGAATTGAAAAGCGTATATATATACGCCAGAGGATGTCAGGCCTTAATGAAGAAAAAAAAACAACTAAAACAGTACAAGAAATCGTTATTACGATGTACACACAGGTGCTGTTTCTTACGTTTTTCCCTTCATAAGTCCACAGCACACTAACACACTTTCGATTGAAAATTTATCGCTCGAAAATACGCATAAAACACACCCTCCTAGATATAATTTGAATAAAATAATTTATGTAAGAAAAAAAAATAACTAAAAATTCACCGCTGCCGCGCGTCAGCTTCAATTTTTTTGAATTTTATTTTTCTCTCTGCCTCATTCTCATTAAGGATGGCCTATAATGCGACACAACACACGCGCGCGACATTATAAGATATCGAGTCTATATATCAAAACCGGATATAATAAATTCCTGATCGCCGCCGCCTAGTCGATTTCGCACGTCCTAAAGAATTCATAATTAACGCGATTAATCAATTTAACTTCTTTTTTTCCTCATATACGTAACTTATTAAGCAGCTCGCCAGCGGAGGTAGCTGAGGAGGAAAAAAGAAATATACATTATACGTATATATATAATGTAAATCGGAAAAAAACTCGTGAGGTATTTCCATGCGTAGACCGCGACGATGAAGATTTATATATACGAGAGAGTTTCAAAAATTTACATACATGGTCGTGTAGGTGCGTGCGTAATTAAATTAATTATTAATTACCTCGAAAATGCCACCGCCGAATATTATATTAGGAAACGTCCGCCGCGCGTCTCTCGTTACGATAATCATCCGCGATTGTACGTGCATTCGTATAATATATCCAACGTCTTCATATACACACGCTCGAATACAAAAAAAAAAAAAAACTTTATATCCTCCCGACGCGAGGAGAGACAAAAGAGAAAAGAGTATTTATCGAAAATAGGGGAGCGAAACGACGAAAGAATAATAAAAAGAAAAAAAAAGAAGTACAAGACGAAGGAGAGAATTAAAGCAGCAGTGGCAGCGCGAGCGTAAAAAGGGGAGAACAACAATCCGGTTTCGTCTTCCTCTCTGCTGCTGCTGCTGCTTCTGCGCTGAATGATTATATTCGACGACGGCGAGGGGGCCCACCACACAGCACACCGCTACTACTTTTGTCTCTGTCACCCACGCCTATATATCCACATCGAGAGATTTCGATCTCTCTCTCTCAAGATTACAGACGAACGTCGTCGTCGTCGTCGTTTCGTATAATGGGACCTCTCTGAGGCGCCCGCAGCATTATTATTACGCAAACCTTGTTTAGCGATCCTGCGGCCGGTCCTCGCTCTCTCGTGGCTCTGTATCGATACGAGGGCCGCGGCGAGCTCCTCCCTGGCCTCCCTCGCCGATCTCTCTTCCGGCGTTTCGATTTTCGCCGCTTGCTGCTGCTGCTTCTGGACCTCCTCGGTCGTAGAATTCGAGCTGGCTCGTCGCTGCTGCTTGCGAGTACTTTTCGTTGTCGGCACCGCCGAAGCGGCCCCTAAAGACGGGCTTGGACTGCTTTTGGTTGCTGCTGCTGCCTCGTCTTGCGGTATTTTAATCGATTTCGCCGAGCCACCGACTGGTTCTTCCTCTTCTTCCTCCTCATCCTCCTCCTCCTCTTCTTCTTCTTCTTGTTCGTCGTCCGGCCCCTGTTTCTTCTTCTTCTTCTTCGTCTCCGTGCTCTCGATCAATTTTCTGCGTCGCTCGATCTCGGCTCTGCGCTCGTGCCAATCGTACAGGGGCCCGCTCAGCTCCACGTCGGCCGGGCACATCTTCAACCTTCTCAGCGTCTCGACGGGCCAGGGACAGTCGAGATAGCTCAGATCCTGCATCTCCTGCCTCAGTTCCAGCATCCTCAGAATCGCGCGATCCATCAGTTCCCCGACGAATTGGCGCAACTGCGGCTGGTGTATCTCGTCGTGGCACACCTGCTGACGCTGCACGAGCTTGCGATAGCGATAGTAGAGCTCGGCCACCTTGTCCATGGCGAGCTTGCGCTCGAGGATCGGCTCGGCTTTCTGAGCTCGCTCGTCCAGCTGCATGAGCTGCTCGAGATCGCGTCTGACCTGGAACCACTGCTCCACGTAATAGGCGTTCGACATTTTTTTTTTGCTTTTGCTATTTTTTTGTTGAGCTTTTATTTTTTTAATTTGAAGTTTAAATTTTGATTAGTTGCACCGAAAAAAGGGGGAGTTTGTCGTTCGAGGGGTTATGATTTCGCGTGAGTCATGTTGGTATGTGTGTGTACGTGTGTGACGACTGAAGCGTGCGTGAGTTCCGCTTGAAGCTGTCGCGGATTCGGCGAAACGCGACTATATACACCTTGCAGGAATGCAACAACATACACGTGCCTTCGTACATGATTTTTTTTTTTTTTTGCTACGCAGAATATGCCGGATACGCGGCCGGGGAAGTGGCGGCTGCCGCCGTCGCTGCTGCTGCTGCTGCTCGCAGCGGCTTTTGTCCTAGCCGAGGCCAAGTCGACGACGGTGCTAAATAATTCCACGCGCCACGACAGCGACAATAACGAGGCGGCAGCGGTAACGACTACTCATCGCGCATCGACAAGTGTCGTCGCCGACACCGACATCGACGAGGAGGAGGAGGATGACAAGCAGCTACTACCGAAATCATCGACATCGCATCCGCCGCCGCCGCCGCCGATCGTTGCCAGCTGGGAGTGCCCGGAAATAACTGGACAGGGCATCGAGTGCTCCTGCGATTTTCCGCACACGTTGAGGTGCATCGGCGACAGGACGTCTCTCAAGGTGAGCAGCAGACCGGTTACACATCGTTGTTATTGCTGTCGAAAATAGAGTCACTCGACCAGTGATTGAAAGGTTTAGAAAAATTCTGCTTTCAAGCAGCTTGAATGCATGTTTTTAGTCAATTTTAGGTAATCGAACCAATAGTTTGTCAAAGTTCATACCTTCCTCTACCTATTAGAATTTTTACAGAATTTTCAATTGAGTTTTTCATTTATAAAAGTTCATGAAAATGAAAAAACACGTATTACTGTAAGGAATGTAATAATTGTTACAAACCCTGCTCATAGTTATACCATTGTTTTCACTTTGCCACTTGCAGATTTACAGATGAAGGTATAATAGCCATCTAGCGGTAGATGCTCGTATCAATTATACATTCAATTTTTTAGGCATTTTTGAAGCATTAATTTTTAATCAAATAATGCATCAAAAATAATGTATGTGATTGCATTAGCATACACGTTTGGCTCAGTTTATGTCAAAAAACAAATCAATATCACTGTAAAAAATATTTTACGTACTTTTATTAAGGCAAATTTTAATGTAAATGTATCCATGAAATTTAAGAAGAATACAATCAATTAATAATTGATGTTGAAGTTTTTTGAAATTCAACTTAATTTTCATTATTCTACATAACAAATTTAAAAAAAAAAAAACATTAAAAATTCAGTTATTGTTTTTAAATTTTTAAAATTGCTACCTAATTTTGAGAAAAATTTACGAATTCATTTTCAGTTACGCGCACAAACTTTACTTAACATTGCATGAAAATTTTTTACAGTGATAACGATGTACGAAAATTTCATGAAAAAGTACCTTAAATAAAATTCAGTATCTTTATCAAATTAAAGGCTTCTTTCCAAACATTGACTACATTTTGTACATTATTTCCTTTTCTCGCTGACGCAGAGCATCGGCGCGCATCTGCGCGGCCTCCGCCCGGGCCGGATCTCGCTGCTCGACGCCACGCTCCAGGGCATCGCCAGTCTGCCGGCGGACTTCCTCGAGGGCGTCGCGCTCCACGGCCTCGTCGTGTCCAGCGGCGAGCTGCGACGCCTCAACGAGAACGCCTTCTCGGCCCTGGCCCAGCCGCTCCAAGCCCTCGGCCTGCCCAACAATCAGCTCGACCAGGTGCCCATTCACGCGCTGGGCAAGATCGCCCTGGGCCTGGAGAGGCTCGATCTGTCGCACAACAAGTTCAAGATACTCGAGGCTGGCTCGTTCAAGGTTTGTTGTTTGAAAATGTTTTTACTTTCCTCGAAATCATAATGTAAGTGAGCTCGCGTGAAAAGCTTATTTAAATTTTCTTTTATAACTGAATAGTTAGACACCTGACGAAATTATACAATTCTTTGGATATTGCCGCTTGCAGATTTACATGTAACGATACTCGCCATCTAGCGGCGAATGATGGTTGTAACTATAATGAAATTTTCATTAATTTCCTGCAGGACTAACAAAAAAAGACAAATTCGCTTTCGATGGAAGTCGACTTCGTGGACAACTATTATAAACTTTAAACTTTTGATTAAACATTTATAAAAGTTCATAACTTTTCGGTTTCATTGCGTACTCGACGTGAAATAATTGGCATAAAATATTTAAAATGTTATATAAATTTTATAAACCTTCGTAAAATCTTGAAAAACACTTTTGTCCTGTTTTTAATTTAAACTCAAAACTAGCTAAAACTTCTAGCCGAAAGTAGACGAAAATTCTTCAATTTTAAAAAACGCTTATTCAATGAAGATTACTTAAATTTTAATATCACACAGTTCTACACTGAACCCGCATTAAATCCAACAGTTTTATTTTCTCAACAACAGCTTAGAAATGAAAAAAGGACTAATCAATATCGATAAAATTTCTCTTCACAGAACCTGAACAACGTCACCTATCTGGACCTATCGGGCAATCTGCTGACTCAATTATCGCCGGAAGTGTTCGCCTCCCTGCCGCAGCTGCGCATGCTCAAAATGCGCGGCAATCGTCTGTCGGTCTCGGCGCTCAAAGCCTTTCGCGGCTTGAGGAGCCTCGAGGAGCTCGATCTCTCGGCCAACATGCTGTTGGGTCCGCTGGGTCCGGGCCTCATACCCTCGGCCATGCCGAGACTGCGCAGTTTAAGTTTGGCCGAGAATCAATTGAAGAGCGTGGGCAACGACACGCTAATGGGACTGAAGAATTTGTCCTCGCTCGTCTTGAGCCACAATCAGGTGAGAGAGAGAGAGAGAGAGAGACGAAAAAAATTCGGCGCCAGCCGGCTAATTCGAAAACGATGTCGTATGCTAATGATCCTCAAACTCGTTTTTTTTCTTATATGTTCGCGCACAGATCGACGTACTGGAGGATCACGCGTTCCGCCAGCTGACGAATCTGCGCCACCTGGACCTGTCCTACAACGACATCGTGGCCGTATCCTCGCTCTCGCTGGCCCATCTCGATCGTCTGCGCAGCCTCGATCTCACTCACAACTTTTTGCGCTCGCTCAACGGCGACCTCCTCGCCCCCCGCAATCTCGAGCGTCTCCGTCTCGACGACAACGACATCACCATGGTGACGCCCGACGTCTCCGCCAAGACCTCCAAGCTGCTCATGCTCAAGTCCCTGTCGCTGGCCGACAATCCGCTCAACTGCGACTGCAATCTGGCCGAGTTCGCGCGCTGGTTCGCCGCCGCGGGCCTCGAGCCCGAGGACAAGCGCTCGGCCGTCTGCGCCACGCCGCCGGCCCTCGAGAACGGCCCGCTGACCCAGGTGGCGCCTGACAATCTGCTCTGCGGCGAGGATCCGTCCTCCGCCTCGTCTTCCTCCTCTTCTTCGTCGGCGTCGGTCGCCGGCATGACCAGGCTGCCTCTGGCCGCGGCTCAGCTCACCCTCAAGGAGTTCCACTACGACGAGGCGACGGCGGGCGGCGACATGCTGTGGCGCGTCGAGCCCTGCACCGAGCGCTACACCTGCGACACCCTCATCGTGTACGAGGCCCAGCAGGACGGACGCGAGGTGCAGCTGGCCTCGTCGCCCATCGAGTGCGACTCGCGACACATGCCCCAGCCCTGCGCCCTCAGTCTCGGCGTGCCGGCGAGCATCAGACTGCAGCCGGGCCATCGTTATCGCTACTGCGTGGTGCTCATGGTGCCGCCTCCACCCGTGGCGCACCAGGGAAAAGACGATCGTCATCGGCGTAGGGACGGCGACGACGACGACGTGTCGCTGGGGCTGGGCTGCAGCGACATAATCGAGCTCGAGGACACGCTGGATCTGCTGGACATGGAGAGGAAGAAGGTGCCGGCGATGACGCCGCCGCCACCGCTGCTGCAGCCCGACATCAAGGATCTGCGAGTGAACGTGTCCGACGAGGGATACCTCAAGGTGAGCATCGAGAAAATATTTCTTTCAAATTTAATGTAAAAGCGAATCGAGGTTTTTTAAAATTAATTTTTATGTAAAATCATCTAGGTCAATGTGATTTGAATCGCGATCAAATGTTTTTTTCGTAAAAATAAAATTTAATATGGAATACTCTTCGCAATTAATTTATAGATCGTAGATAAATTTGAACTTACAAGGAGAGCCCTTCATGTCCGGTCGACCAAATCTCCTGCTAATTTTTTTATAGTCTCCTCTAATGATGAAACCCCCGATAGTTAGTTTGATCCTGTAAACAACACTTCTAAGCATGATTAATGTTAAAATATTATCTAAGCATGATTAATGTTAAAATATTATCTAAGCATGATTAATGTTAAAATATTATCTAAGCATGATTAATGTTAAAATATTATTTAACATTAATAAATACCATATATTAGCGTATCATGGTAACAGGCTTAAATAGTCAAGTTCAGTTGACTAGTATTGATGGAAAAGATGGGAAAAAATTGTTATATTATTAAACTCACTGTTCCTTCTTTTTCGTCCATTTCTGGCACACAATTGAATGTCCATGTCCATGTTTTGAGGGTCAGATTACAGAAAACTTTTCAGTCAACTTTTCAGTGAACGGAGAATTTAACAACGAATTTCAGGACATGTTACTTAAAGCAATATTTCTACTTAGCCACTTGTAGATTTTACCGATACAGGTACTCGCCATCTAGCGGCGCAAGCTGACTTAACAATCGAATTTTTATTCATGCCTATTTTGTGTAGTACCTTACGTAAAAAATAATAAATTAATAAATCAATACAAAGATTTCTTGCAAAGAACCTCGAGTAAAATCCAATATCGATTACTTCAATTTTCATGTCTAATTGTACATTGAAATCTGCATAAAATTTGAGGTTTTTTTCAACAATGTACTATATTAGTCTTAAACAACAGTTTTAGCGACGTTTTGTTGCATCAATCAAAATCTTTATATCGAGTCGATTACTAAAATCTACTCATTTATTTTTGCAGGTCGCCGTCGCTCTGCTCGAAACGCCGCGCGTCGGCTGCGAGATCGACCTGGACATCCTGGCTATAGAGACGGGCCAGGTGCACCGCCAGCGCCTCAACTGCAGCGCCCAGGCCAACGAGCTCGCGGGCCTCGTGCCGGGCCGCTACAAGATCTGCGCCTCCGTGGAGACCGAGTCGGCGAGTCGCAGGCCGCGCGAGGGTCACGCGCGCTGCGTCGAGGTCCAGACGCTGCGCCAGCAGTACCCGTCCCAGGGCGCCGTGGCCCTGGTGCTGTGCGGCCTGCTCGGCCTGGCCCTCGCTACGGCCTACTGCATCGGTCGCAGCCTCGCCCGTACCCGCAAAAAGGCGGCGCAAATAGGGGGCGGCGGCGGCGGCGCACCCGCGGCTGGACAGCAGCTCGAGATCACCCACAAGGCGCACTACATCAAGCTGCAAGCAACTACCAAAGTCTGATTAATTTTTTGTTTTTTTTTTTCTGTCGCTTGTGTGCCGTGTGTAATTGCAATTTTTGTATTCAACTAGTCGTGTGATGATGATGATGATGATTTTATATGAGCTGTGCGAGAGATAGAGAGAGAGAGAGATAAGTGTCGACGATAATCAAATGCTATATTCAAATCAAAAATATTTTTACGTTTACCCTCCCCGTCGATCGAGTGTACATAGAGAAAAAAACCTATCGATTGACTAGTTTATGTAATAATACAAGAGTTATAATGAGTGTTAAATACATGAGAATATTTAATATATTTTTTAGGGTGCGAGCGATAAAACTCGACGATTGTACTGTAAATACTAGGGCTTCGTTCGACCTAAGTAATAAGTAAATAAATAAATAAATAAACATATTATATATTTTATCGAGCCAACTTATGAGAGAAATGTCGAATGTGTTTTTATTGAAACTTTGTAAATATGTTTAGATTATGTGTGATTTATAAAATATTTTTACGATTAAAAATTCACGTTTTTTAAATAAATATTATAGAAATTGAATTTTATATGTTTGCCAAAGTTATTTTTCCCGCGCAAAAAATCGAAAATAAAACTTTTAATTTGAGTCCAGACGAATTCAACTACTGACCGATGCCGGGGTAAAATTGAAAATTTTACAGGCTGAATTTCAAAAATTTTGTAAATTATAGTTTTCATCTGGTAACTATAGACACCAATAAAAGAAATATTAAACCTAGGAACAACTGATCATCGAAGGATTTCAAAGCTGCAACCACTTCGAACATAAAAACGGCCACAAAAAATATAAACATGTAAGCTCAAAGTTACTTTGAATGGAAATTATTTTTATTCTTCACGTTCGACGCTACCAAAAGTAAAAATGATAAAAAGTGAAATAAATTTAAAAAAAGATTCTTTCGAATCCGCGAACTTCTCGTTGCATTAATTCTGTGGTGGAAAGGCATAACGACTTAAGTCCATTTTTCGTAATTTCGAGAAAAACGCGTTTTAAGTTGATTGGGCCAGCCAAACTAAACGCGGACGAGTCGAGATCTGAACCTATGGTGTTTTAAGCTACTATGAGGTAGCTTTTCAACTATGTACTTATGAAATTGAAAGGCGCATCATAGCGATGATAGGGAGCAAAAAATATGGACTTAAGTCATTTTGCCTTTCTACGGTTTGCACTTAAGTCGACTTTTGTCGGTCACACTTTTTTCAATATCGACTATTTCGCGCAGTTTGTCATCATAACCTCATTTAACGAATTCACATTGATAAAATTGCTCATTTAACGTTATACTGGTGTCAGATCTCAAATCTTGCATCGAAAACAGGCCAAACTGAAAATCGCAAAAATGGCCCCTCGCGTATTAAATGTAACAATCATATAGTGTAATTCACAACATTCGAAGAGTGTGGAGCTATGTTTAACATTCTAATATCATTTTCTTTCATTTTCAAATAAAATTAGACTCTCTATAGCATTTTGAAACTCGCAAGGGTGGACTTAAGTCGTTTTGCCTTTCCCCAGTCTTCGCGAAATGGACTTAAGTCGTTATGCACGATGCTGCAACTAAAGCTAGACGCTATATTCGTCTATTCTGACCCTTGTACATTAAAATAGACACTAAATATAAACGTTTTTCATCATAAAATCGATTTTCAAAAAAATGGACTTAAGTCGTTATGCCTTTCCACCACAGAATTGTATCATTGGTATTGCGGCATACGTAAAGAAATCAAATAAAAAGAAATTTATCCTAGTGGCAGCACCTCCTTATGCTTACGAACAGAGTATCAAGCGTCGGTCAATATTTTTCTGCAGACTGCACGTCGAATCTCGAGAATGTGCCGGTTATACGATGCAGATGGCAGTGTCCCCTTCGCGTGTCGAGTCGCCGGCGGTTGGTTTCAGCTGTTCAGTAGGTACTCACTAGTCAGTACACGTTACGACGCCGCAGCGTAAACAAAGAAACATCGCATCGATCGCGTCAAGTGATTTTTTGTGCAAAAAAGTGAGAGATATCTTCTAATAATAAAAAATTGTGTTTGTGTGTAAACTGCGAGTGCATAACACTATAGCTATGTCTAATAACGAAGAAAACGACGCCGAGCCGATGGAACTTCTGGGTAAACTCAACTTCGAAAAGCTGAAGAGTTCACGAGAAAAGGTCAATTGGGAGAGCGAAGAAGAGCGACGCGAATTTTTCAAAGAACTTAGCAGCTTGGTAAAACATTGGACGGGCCCGTATCCCGATCTTCGAAAAATTTTTCGTCCCGAAGAGATCGATTGGATTCTCTCGGAGGACGTGAGAAACTTGGACAGATTAGGCCTCACACTGGACAGAGTGAGCATCATTACTTTCGTGATCAACTGCGGCTACAGGGACGAACCCGAGCTGGACAAAGACGGCAAACCAATTTTGCGTCGCACCACACCGCTGCACATCGCGGGCAGATTGTCCCTCACGTACGTCTTGAGCGTCTACTTCACCCGAGTATACGACAGATTCGACGCGAATTACATGGACGACGTCGGTTGTACGCATTTTCACGTGGTCTGCACTCACGGCTACATCGACTTCGTGGAGAGATTCCTCGAGTCCGGTCAGGATCCCAACCTCGTCCTGGAATCGACGGGTGAATCACCGCTGCACATGGCTCTAAAATGGGGCCACAACGACGTGGCAATGCTGCTGCTGAAAAAAGGCGCCAATGTGAACTTGGCTAATCGAGACGGAATCACTCCTCTGCACTTGATATCGGACAGAGACTTTTACTACGAAAACGATGACAATACATTTTTCCAGGAGTTTTTCAAGTTTATCAAGGATCAGCATCAAACGATACAAATCGAGGCCAAGGACAAGTGGGGCCGTACACCGCTGCAAAGGGCCGTGACGAGTTTTATGCCGGATTTGGTCGATGCATGTTTTGATTTAGGCGCTGATCTGTCGAATTTCGTTTTTCCCACCGAACGTCAGCTCGACAAGAGATTTATATTTTTGTTCGACGATTACGTCGATGAGTTTAAATTACGTCTAGTATCTGGTGCTCTGGCCGTCTTGGAATGTCTGAAGAAGAGAGGATACGAGCTCGAACGAAGCGACGCCCTGACGATGATGAAATTTTTCCTCGCATACAAAGTGTTCAGAAAGTTAGAGGATCACGAGAAAGAGTTCGTCGTTGAAGATTCAGTGGGTCGTAAAAAATGTTGGTACGACGAGGAGGAGTTCACGAGCAAAGCGCAAAACACAATGATCAATCCGAATCTGTCGCTCTACGAGCTGTTGCGGTTGCGGCCCGGAGAGGCGGAAAAACGACTCGCCTACGAGGACTGCTTCGAGTTCGCGCGATCGGACGATTTTCTGTTGATGCCCGATTACGCGAAGGAAAATGACACTTGCAATGTGTACCTCAACGAGATACTGGCGAGAAGATTTTGTCGACGATGGGCACTGGAGCCTTTCATGGAGATGACGAGCCATCGACTGCCGATTCTCTGCTGCGAAATGATCTTGGAGAACTTGAAGAACGAAGATTTGTGTCGTGTTTGCTTTGCGGTCACAGACCACGATATTAGTTCTATTAATGAAAAAAGAGTTGTAGTGATGAAGTTAAAATAATTACTTAATAATAAGTGCATATCTTCAATATTTATCGAAATCTGTTGTAAAATGATGCATATTTTTCTTATTGTTTCAATAAATAAATGAAAATTAAAAAAAATGATTTGATCTTCCCATTGATACGCACACGAATTATTTCAGTAAAATATCTCATATTGTGTGTGCATTTACATTACCCGAATTAGACTTTCTTACCCTTTGCTGCGACACCCGGCGATCCTCGGCTAGCCTGGTGGCACATTCGAACGTTTAAAAATTTCCTATTAATTTAAAAAGCCATGATTTTATTTTATTCGCGCTACAGCAACTGCGAGACGACATCGGTATACACGAATTTGAGTATATTTTTTAATTTTTTTCACAAATTCAATACATTTGTTTATGTCGCATCCGAGTTTTATTCCTTGCCCAATACTATACATTTTTGAATGATCCTTGTTTATTTATGTAGAAGAACAACAAAAATCACTTCTATGAAAGCAACATAGTAACATAGTAACATAGAAAGTAGGTATAGATACGTATACAACACACAGTTGCACCAAAGTCGAAGCAAAACCTTTTTGCGTTATCATTGGTTCAAGCTCATCCTAAAGATTGTACACAACTTAGGTGTATGAACTTTTTATTGTACAGTTTGTGATGTTTGAACGAATTTTCAGAAAAGAAAAAGAAAATTGTTTAAACAATTAAAAGTTTTTTTTTGAATCCTTGAGCTACTGTTTTGCACTATTGCATATCTTGTAAGTAAACAGCACTCCATTTGATATAATTAGTTCGATCCATGACGTGAAATACAGGTTGCAATTTTTCGAGCGTGTCAAGGTGCAACTTCCAATTTCCTGTCCTATCAGCTCTGATCAAATCAAGAGTTAAAGTAATTAATGTCAAAACGTTATTCCAATAAAGAAACATTTCTGATTCTGCACATCTTATAAGAATAAACTCATTGAACTCATTTAAAAAATCATCACTCTCATTGAATAAGTTTTTGAAATCTTCTTGGCATGCGACATGATCCTGAGCCTGAAAACTTTGCTGTGTCAAGATAACTCGATCTATCAAATCTTCATATTGATCAATTTTTTTTTTTTGGTAAAAAATTCTTTTAGCTGCAATCGTCTCAAGGCCTCGGCCAAGTACGAAAAAGCCTTTACGGATCTTGCATAATTGGTAGCATTTAACAACTGATCCGTGACGTATAACCCGAATAATTTTTTGTCTACGAAGATCTTTTCAACTCCACTGTTCTTCAAATATTTTCCGACGCAAGCGAGCGTCACTTTGATTAAATGGAATCCTCCTAAACATAGTGTAGGCTGTTTTCAGAGACCGTCACTAACCTCTTCGCTCGAACAGCTGATT